AACCGACCCCCTAAAATTTTTTTGTTTCTCAAAAACAAAAAAAAATCTGTTTCGAAAAAAAATAAAAATTACCCCCACCCTGGGCACCCATCACCCCCTTGGGCACCCCCCCTCCACCAACCTACTCCTAATTTTTTTTGTTTTCCAAAAACAAAAAAATAAATTGTTTTTTCAATTAAGTTTGAAAATTAATTGAATTTTTAAAAATTAATATTAATTTTTTTATTTTTTAGCACAATTAAGAATTTTGAGTGGAAGTAAAAACTAAGTAATCTATAATAGGTCAATATGGAAACCCATATTTAACCCATTTTGACCATATTTGTAGAGACGCTTAAAATAGTTTGAAGCCAATATTTAACCAATTAAAATATGAGTGATGCAAGTCATTAAATATGAACAAAATGGACTCATTTCATTAATATGGATTGAAATTGCAACCCCTAGTTATAGTCACGTTTTTCAAGTCGAGTTCAGCTCTGTATATTGACTCCAAATTAGTCCAAATCTCCTATAATTTTTCTAAAATATTGTATATAGCCCGATCCATCTATTTCTAACCGATTCTAACCACACCCATTCAAGAAGTCAGAGAAAATAAATAAAATCAGTTTCGGATAAAAAAATGTGTCGCAAATGGACTTCGACCTGCCATTTTTTTCAAATGGCATGTTAATAGGCGTTTGGATATAAATTAAGTTAATTAATTAATTAATAATAATAAAAAGTATTTGAAAGTTGATATTAGGTATGAAAATGAAAGTAGAATTGTGAGTAAAAACTTACGAAGAGTTGGAAACAAAGTGACTTGTTGTTATCCAAGCTAGAAGTCCTTATATGGATTCTACACCTCAATAACTTTTGTTTAAAATTTAAATAGTGTATTTGTGTTAGAATGTGTAAAAGTTTCACATTGTTAGATATGAGATTGACAATCTGCTTATATTTGAGCAATTCTCTCCCACGAGCTAATTTTTGGGGTTAAGTTAGACCCATACACCATATCTTTACACGATATCAAAGCTAGGTTCATCCTCATCTAGACTCTTGAACCACACTCCAATGAGACCTAGACTCTTGAACCACACTCCAATGAGACCTGAACATGAAGGAGAGTGTTAAAGTGGATAAAAAATTCATATTTCAATCGTCATTATAAAATAAAATTCAGAATCCATAAAATTAAACTTTTGACTTTCTCCTATCTCTTGTTGATTAGAATTCACAATGATAGACTTATCTAAGATATTTTAATTGCTTTAAAGGGCAAGACATGGTGAAATTTGTGGTGAATTTTAAATTGCAAAAGTAGGAAGGGGCGGTGGTGCAAATCATGTGGAGAGCATGCACATTATTGACTAGTGCTTCACTACGGCCCACGCCCTTCCTAGTGTCACGAGTGGATACTTGCCGGGCCCCAATCAATCAATCAATAATCTTTTTTTTTTTATTACATTGAAAAAATAAAATATCAATGAATAAATACCAGTTTTTTTTACTATATATAAACTTCCATGCATATAGCTAAAGCATTCAAACAACAACTATTTAAAAAAAAAACATTTCCCTTTGTGCTAACATTATCATTACCTTGTACTATTAGCTTAAAAATGCATTCAAAATTCATCCATTTCGCTCTTTTTATCTTTATTATCTTTACTATCTCCGCCAGTTCTTTAGCCCTTAGCCCGGTCGGCGGAAGGAAGATGAGCTCGAATACCGAGATGGGATCACCTAGCTCAGGTAGTGGCGCGGCTCATGGGCCTAACTGGGATTACAATTGGGGCTGGGGTTCAAGCCCGAGTGGAGGTTGGGGTTATGGTTCGGGCTCGGGTAGGTCTCCTAATGGATTTGCACGAGGCTGGGGCTTTGGTTCCGGGTCAGGGAGCGGGTCTGGTTCGGGCTATGGTTATGGTTACGGAAGCGGTGGGGCTCATGGTGGTGGTTATGGAGCTGGAAGTGGTTCGGGTGGTAGTGGAGGCGGTTTTGGTTCGGGAAGTGGTGGTTCACCATCAGTTCCCGAACGTCATGGTTAAATTAAAACTTTGTATGCTAGTATGTTGTGTACTGCGTAAAATATAACTATAGGAATGTATTGCGACTCCAACTACGTGCAATATTTAGTATTTTGTTAGTACTATGTTATATAGCTAATGTGGTGTATACATATTATTAATTATATAAGATGAATGTTTTCATATGCTCAAAAACGTTTTTAAAAAAAAGGCATGATGAGTAATTATATTTTTTTCGTGAAAGTTAAGTTCATTCATGTTCTGTTTTAATTTGTTTTTCTTAGTTATAACTTATAATTTGGATTATTTAAGAATATCCTTTTCAAATATTTTGAATTTTTAACTTTTATACTTGCTCCAAATCAATGCAAATAGATTGAATTATAGAGGGAGTATCTGGTATGAGGGACTTACGGGTGCAGGTTCACATGAACCCATGCTTCCCTTTCGAAATTATATATAGTAGTGTTATATTTTTTAAAAATAAATTGAAATAGAAATGTATGAATCGACACTCAAAGTATCACATAATATCGTGCGGTGATGATTGGGTGCACCTCTCTAAGCGAGGTTAGAAATTTGAATATTTTATTTATCTTGTTTTTTTTTTTTTTTTTTCTAAAATTGGATAACACCTCTCTAAATGGTTTGGATAAATTAAAAAAAAAATTGAACCTATAATTTTAAATTTTTAATGATTTCCAGTAATAAGAACCTAAATATCAAACTAATCAAATCTATATCTTAAATTTATCTTTTTCTTTTATAACGCACTCTATCATCTTAAAATCCTAAATACGCCTATACTATACTAGGGAGAGCTACTTTTCAATTTTTAATTAGTGTAATTATTAGTGTGTGCTGATTATGAGCACGGGTAGTTTATGGTCGAAATAAGAATGAAAAAAAGTAACAAGTGGGAGTAGGTTTGTTTGCTGGGGAAAGGGCTATTTGAACAAGTATTTATGTGGTTGTAATTAACTATGTCTACGTGTACTTGTTTCACATGTTTGGCCAAGTCTCATATACAAAGTGAGTTCTCACAAGTCATATCCTTGACAATGCAAGCATATCTTTTGTTTGTTAGTTTAATTTGATACGAAATTTTAAAATATAAAAGTAGATTTTATATGGTAAAATTGTAAATTAAAGAATGTTATATTAAAAATTGGAAGATATGTTGTTTGGATTTTTAACTCTTTATTAAAAAATTTGCTTTACACATAATCGTTTATTTTACTATTTTTTTTAATTCTTATTTCACTATCTTTATTAAATTCAGTATTGACTATTATATAAATCCTTGGTATACCAAAACAATGGGTAGTTTTAGTATTAAATATGGCTAATTTTGGATGGTTTTATTTCTGTTCGTTTATGAGAAACTGAAACCCTCATATGAATATAATGGATTTGGCTCCCCTTCATTACCTCTTCCCTCTATTTCATCAAGTACACCTCTAGATAAGAGACATGTGTCTTATTTAAAGATACACAATTAGTATGAGATTTAAATTAAACTTGCGTTATTTTGATGTTGTCTATTTTGGTAGGTGGATAGTAATTTGAGGAGTATTGGGGCAATTAGTTGAACTGCTGTTAATAACGATGAGAACATGTTCTTGAGGGATCCGGCTCCCCTCCATTATCCCTTCCCTCTATTTCGTCAAGTGCACATCTAGATAAGAGACGCATGTCTTATTTAAAGTTTAAAGGTCAAGATTATATTATATTAACAAATATCATAATCATAGTTAAATCAACTAATTTTAGAAAACTACTATCTAAATTTGGTAAAAATTACAATATATTCCATACAAAATTTTATATTTATTAATATCATCTTATATTTTTATATTTAAATATTAAAATTGTAGAACATGAAACATTTATATTTAATGTGATAAATAATAATCTTCAAAAAAATTTGCATTTAAAACAATGCTTTCTTTTATTTCACAAAAAAAAGAAGATAAAAAAATATTTTTTAAAAAACGTATATCTTTTCCTTCAAACGTACGATAGCCACATTTTCTGCTTGGAATAATTTTGGTATCGTTTAATTCTAAAAAAAATTGTCTTTTTTATTTTCTAGTTTTGTTTCCGTGTTCTTTTATTTTATGGTTTTTTTGTTCAACATTGATAATTCTTCACTTTTGTCTTTTGTTTCACAACATAGTATAATATTTCAAGAATAAAATTTACTAGTACATAAAATTGTTTAGTTATGTTGATTCTCACCTTAAATATCATACAATTTAATATTTAAGTATAAAAATATAAGATGAAATTAATGATATTAATAAATATCAAATTTTGTATGAAATATAATGTAATTCTTACCAAATTTGGAGAGTAGTTTTCTAAAATTAATTGACTTAACTATGATTATGATATTTGTTAATATAATACAATCTTGACCTTTAAACTTTAAATAAGATACATGTCTTTCATCTAGAAGTGCACTTGACGAAATGGAGAGAAGGGATAATGGAGGGGAGCCGGATCCGAATATAATGTTAAGAAGGTTAAAATTTGTTAATTGTTTTTTCTTTTCTTTTTGAGAAAACATTCCTTTTCTATTAATGTTACTTTCTTTTTATTTTAAAAAATTACATGGCTAGTTAAAGTTGGTGGCCTCCAATCAAATCACAGATACTCATGTATTTGCGGCTGATAAAGTTAAAATCTTTATTTAATTTATCTTTTTAAAAATAAAATAAAATTTTGTTCATCTTTATTAGTACGATCTAAAAATTGATTTTTTTTTTAATTATATGAGACACTTGTGTATTTTTATATAGATTTTTTGTGTACAAGGTGTCACTACAAAAAAACAAAAATATTGCGGCGGTTATATTACGACGGTTTCATAGAACCGCCGCAAACGTCAAATAATACGACATTTTTCTACACGTCATATTAAATATTCCAATAATAGCGGTTATTACCAAAATTACGACGTTTTGAACCGCTATTCGAAATTTTAAATTTTTTAAAACAGATTTCCTTTCATTTTATACGTAAGCATCTTTTCCTTAATTTCATTTATTTCTTTTCCTTAATTTCATTTAAAAACTCCATTTTCCTTAATTATGATTCTCTTTTATTTCATTATCTCTTTTCCTTAATTACAAAGAATCAATTTACTCAAATCAGTCGGATACTTTTCATTCCCAAACCATCTTTTCATGACTATCCCCAAATCAGCTCCGGTAAGCTCTCAATATCCTCAAATCAATCGCCCAAATCAAATGTCGATCATGGCGTCACTGTGGATAAGCAATATATATAGCTCATATATACAAGTATAGGCTTCTCAATTTCAATTTCAATTTGAATTTTCGCTCTCCAGCAAAGCACTTGCCATCACCAGGTAAGCTTTTTGTTAGATTATTTTTCAATCTCTGTATTCTCTTTTCTATTTGTTAGAGTTCATGAGATAGTAGAGATTTGTTACGGTTCATGCATGTAGGATTCAAGTGTTTGTTAGTTTTTTTATTCATTTAGATTTGAGTTACATTTTGTTATTTTTTTTGTATAATTCAATTATTAGGTTAAAAATGGGGTTATTCAATGTAGAAGGCTACTGTAATTGATATTTTTATGTGATTGATTTTGTTAACTTTATGGAACTGATGCAATATGTACAGTGAATTTCTTACTTAGAGTCGAAACATGGAACATTAACTCTATATAATGTTTTGAGGGGATGAGTTGAATCAGAAAATTTTACATATTGTTTTAGTGTTGTAAAATCAGAACAGGAAACGACTTCTGCATACAAATTTTGCACATTGAACTTGTAATATTGGAACTGACAAATCTAAATACACAAGTGTTGGGTGATTATTCCTTCTAGGGTTGTAATTAATCTAGTTAAGGTGGTGTAAGAGTTGATTTTGATTTTTGTAGCTAATACACTGTTGGTAGCTAATCTGAATTTTCTATTGTTTTGTTGTTCTTGTAATGTTGATTTTTTTAGAGTGGTAATGATCTTATTAATATTGAATTTAAACATCATATACGAAGGTGGTTGAAGGAAAAAGTTGTTAAGTACGGATATAGAGAAGATAGTTAATAAAGACTTCATTGATTTCCTCGAAAGGTTAGTTACTTAACATATTAGGGTGTTATAAATTTAAAACTTGATGCTATCTTAATTATCTATGGAATTGGCTAATGTGTGCAAATTTACAACTTTTTAAATATGTATGCGCAGATGCCGAAGCAAAATCCGTATAAAAATATGTTCAAATCAGTCGAGAGTTCTTCACTTGCTCCCGGATAGTCATCACAGTCTCAACCTCAGGCTCAAGCTTCATCTTCTTCATCATCACAATAAAAAACAAAGTCAACATGTTCCATCTTTATCATCTGATGGTGTGTCTTCACAATCTGCCGTTCCATCTACTTTGGATGGAGTTTCTTCACAACCAATTAAATATAAAGGCGCTGAAGACAATCGTGGTTGGCTTGTCGACGTTATAGGTACATAAAAATGATATTTTACTGTAATTTAAATTTTCACCACAACTTGTTTAAAATACTACAATATTTACCTATCAACTTGATGTCTTATTCACGAGTAAAGTTATAACCTTCTCAGCAACTAACATGAATTTGATCATTATCTTTTTTATTGTTCTTATTTAAATTGTAGAAACTTTGCAAGAAGAATCAACAGATTCGACAAAATCAAATTCCTCATACCGGAGGTGCTAAGAGTTTGGCTAGAAGAAGAGCTGAAATGGTAGTTTAGTACAATGTGCTTAGATAAGTATGTTCTTAATTACTTACTAATGTTTTACAATTTTAAAATTTCAGAAGGCAAAGGGAAAAGATGTTGATCGAGGCAAAATGTGGACTGAAACTCATAAGAGAAAAGATGGAAGTTATGTAACTGAAGCGGCTAGGGAGATTGGGGTAAGTATTCTTCCTATACATTATCAATTGGTATTTATTTTGAACATGTCCCTTTCCATATCTGTAAGTGCAACTTCTTGTAGTGTTCTATGATTTCTGTTAGAGCTGTTGCAACAATATAATGTCATGAAATAACACCATCAACTATTCTTGTTTTGTGATTTGGTCCTATAATAATTATACCAATACACCTTTTGTCCTAAGTATCCTCTGATATACTCTCTCTTGTGGCTTACAGCAACCACAAAAATGAAAAACTATGA